CCGTGGGGTGGTGCTTGTACCGTGGTACCGTGGGGTGGTGCTTGTACCGTGGGTGGTGCTTTGTACCGTGGTACCGTGGGGTGGTGCTTGTACCGTGGGGTGGTGCTTGTACCGTGGTACCGTGGGGTGGTGCTTGTACCGTGGTACCGTGGGGTGGTGCTTGTACCGTGGGGTGGTGCTTGTACCGTGGTACCGTGGGGTGGTGCTTGTACCGTGGTACCGTGGGGTGGTGCTTGTACCGTGGGGTGGTGCTTGTACCGTGGGTGGTGCTTGTACCGTGGTACCGTGGGGTGGTGCTTGTACCGTGGTACCGTGGGGTGGTGCTTGTACCGTGGGGTGGTGCTTGTACCGGGGTACCGTGGGGTGGTGCTTGTACCGTGGGGTGGTGCTTGTACCGGGTACCGTGGGGTGGTGCTTGTACCGTGGGGTGGTGCTTGTACCGGGGTACCGTGGGGTGGTGCTTGTACCGTGGGGTGGTGCTTGTACCGGGGTACCGTGGGGTGGTGCTTGTACCGGGGTACCGTGGGGTGGTGCTTGTACCGGGGTACCGTGGGGTGGTGCTTGTACCGTGGTACCGTGGGGTGGTGCTTGCACCGTGGTACCGTGGGGTGGTGCTTGTACCGTGGTACCGTGGGGTGGTGCTTGTACCGTGGTACAGTGGGGTGGTGCTTGCACCGTGGTACCGTGGGGTGGTGCTTGTACCGTGGTACCGTGGGGTGGTGCTTGTACCGTGGTACCGTGGGGTGGTGCTTGCACCGTGGTACCGTGGGATGGTGCTTGTACCGTGGTACCGTGGGGTGGTGCTTGTACCGTGGTACCGTGGGGTGGTCTCTTAAACCAGGTTTCACTGTACAGTGATGGCAACTGGTTATAGCGACGTGACCTTCTGACAATGCGGATCACTGCGGGTGCGTTATCTAATTGCCTAGAAAGCTGTACTGGAAGACCAGTAAGGTTAAGTTAACGAACATTTAAAATTTGAACTGACTGCCCGCCCATGGCGAGATGAATGGAAAAGAAATTGGGGAAAATCCACTAACACTACACTGCCCTACCCCTATCGCACTACACTGCCCTACCCCTATCGCACTACACTACCCCACCCCTATCGCACTACACTGCCCTACCCCTATCGCACTACACTGCCCTACCCCTATCGCACTACACTGCCCGACCCCTATCGCACTACACTGCTCCACCCCTATTGCACTACACTGCCCCACCCCAATTGCACTAGACTGCCCTACCCCTATCGCACTACACTGCCCTACCCCTATCGCACTACACTGCCCTACCCCTATCGCACTACACTGCCCTACTCCTATCGCACTACACTGCCCTACCCTTCTAGCACTACACTGCCCTACCCCTATCGCACTACACTGCTCTACTCTTCTCGCACTAGACTGCCCTACCCCTATCGCACTACACTGCCCTACTCTTCTCGCACTACACTGCCCTACCCTATCGCACTACACTGCCCTTACCCTATTGCACTACACTGCCCTACCCCTATCGCACTACACTGCTCTACCCCTATCGCACTACACTGCTCTACCCCTGTCGCACTACACTGCCCTACCCCTATCGCACTACACTGCCCTACCCCTATCGCACTACACTGCGCTACCCCTATCGCACTACACTGCCCTACCCCTATCCCACTACACTGCCCTACCCCTATCGCACTACACTACCCCACCCCTATCGCACTACACTGCCCTACCCCTATCGCACTACACTGCCCTACCCCTATCGCACTACACTGCCCTACCCCTTCTCGCACTACACTGCCCTACCCCTATCGCACTACACTGCCCTACCCCTATCGCACTACACTGCCCTACTCCTATCGCACTACACTGCCCTACCCTTCTAGCACCTACACTGCCCTACCCCTATCGCACTACACTGCTCTACTCTTCTCGCACTAGACTGCCCTACCCCTATCGCACTACACTGCCCTACTCTTCTCGCACTACACTGCCCTACCCCTATCGCACTACACTGCCCTACCCCTATTGCACTACACTGCCCTACCCCTATCGCACTACACTGCTCTACCCCTATCGCACTACACTGCTCTACCCCTATCGCACTACACTGCCCTACCCCTATCGCACTACACTGCCCTACCCCTATCGCACTACACTGCCCTACCCCTTCTCGCACTACACTGCCCTACCCCTATCGCACTACACTGCCCTACCCCTATCGCACTACACTACCCCACCCCTATCGCACTACACTGCCCTACCCCTATCGCACTACACTGCCCTACCCCTATCGCACTACACTGCCCTACCCCTTCTCGCACTACACTGCCCTACCCCTATCGCACTACACTGCCCTACCCCTAACGCACTACACTACCCCACCCCTATCGCACTACACTGCCCTACCCCTATCGCACTACACTGCCCTACTCCTATCGCACTACACTGCCCTACCCCTATCGCACTACACTGCGCTACCCCTATCGCACTACACTGCCCTACCCCTATCCCACTACACTGCCCTACCCCTATCGCACTACACTGCCCTACCCCTAATCGCACTACACTGCCCTACCCCTATCGCACTACACTGCCCGACCCCTATCGCACTACACTGCCCTACCCCTATCGCACTACACTGCCCTACCCTATGGCACTACACTGCCCTACCCCTATGGCACTACACTGCCCTACCCCTATCGCACTGCACTGCCCTACCCCTATCGCACTACACTGCCCTACCCCTATCGCACTACACTGCCCTACCCCTATCGCACTACACTGCCCTACCCCTATCGCACTACACTGCCCTACCCCTATCGCACTACACTGCCCTACCCCCTATCGCACTACACTGCCCTACCCCTATCGCACTACACTGCCCCACCCCTATCGCACTACACTGCCCCACCCTATCGCACTACACTGCCCTACCCCTATCGCACTACACTGCCCTACCCCTATCGCACTACACTGCCCTACCCCTATCGCACTACACTGCCCCACCCCTATCGCACTACACTGCCCTACGTAGCTACCCCTATCGCACTACACTGCCCTACCCCTATCGCACTACACTGCCCTACCCCTATCGCACTACACTGCCCTACCCCTATCGCACTACACTGCCCTACCCCTATGGCACTACACTGCCCTACCCCTATAACACTACACTGCCCTACCCCTATCGCACTACACTGCCCTACCCCTATCGCACTACACTGCCGTACCCACTAATCGCACTACACTGCCCTACCCCTATCGCACTACACTGCCGTACCCCTATCGCACTACACTGCCCTACCCCTATCGCACTACACTGCTCTACGCATATCGCACTACACTGCCCTACCCCTATCGCACTACACTGCCCTACCCCTATGGCACTACACTGCCCTACCCCTATCGCACTACACTGCCCTACCCTATCGCACTACACTGCCCTACCCCTATCGCACTACACTGCCCTACCCCTATCGCACTACACTGCCCTACCCCTATGGCACTACACTGCCCTACCCCTATGGCACTACAATGCCCTACCCCTATCGCACTACACTGCCCTACCCCTATCGCACTACACTGCCCTACCCCTATCGCACTACACTGCCCTACCACTATGACACTACACTGCCCTACCCCTATCGCACTACACTGCCCTACCCCCTATCGCACTACACTGCCCTACCCCTATCGCACTACATTGCCCTACCCCTATCGCACTACACTGCCCTACACATATCGCACTACACTGCCCTACCCCTATCGCACTACACTGCCGTACCCCTATCGCACTACACTGCCCTACCCCTATCGCACTACACTGCTCTACGCATATCGCACTACACTGCCCTACCCCTATCGCACTACACTGCCCTACCCCTATCGCACTACACTGCCCTACCCCTATCGCACTGCACTGCCCTACCCCTATCACACTACTCCTCCTAGTCCTAGCTAGCTACTGCAAGCCTTCAGACCGGCCTGATGCCAGCTGGACTGCCAAAACTACGGAAAAAAACTATGGAGCTGCAAAAGTCCCAACTGGCCTCTGCCTGTACAGCCTACTGCTCTTTACTTACCCAATGGATCAGCAGCAGATGCTCCTGCAGACGCTAATGCGGCCTCATCAGTGCTGCCGGGCTGCCCCGAACTTGTCGAGGGGTTCCAGCTCGTCCAATAACATTCTCACGCTGGCTGATGGCTCGACTTGACGGATGCATTCAAGGAGTTTGTGGAAGGATTCGTCATTACCCACGCGTAGTGCTTTGAACAATGCCTCATTCTGCGCTGCAAGGTCATTGCATGATGCAAATTTTAGACGCTCTGAATGCGTAATCAACTTCTTATCCTGACAATGGAGACGCATATCAAGTGGAATAAGCGTGGAAACCAGGTAAGGCAGAAGTTCTTTGAAGGCGACACTCTCCCATGGGTTCATGTCGAGAGACTCGTCTGAAAATGTTGGCACAACACACACATAGAGAAACAGAAGTCAGAATGGTTTCACATCTATCACATGACTGTACGGGATAGGGCATGTTGGGTTCAATTCCACTCAACTCCTGCCTATATGGGTCACATGACGTCGGCCATGTTGGTTCCACTGGTCACATGACATGATCACTTTCTGCACAAATTTAGTCACATGACCAAGATGTGACCACAACTCCATACATTTCGTTCCTAAGTCTGAAGCTATTGACAAGCCACGCAAAAGCAGTGTTGGGCTTAACGCTGCTTCAGTAGAACCATCCGACACTAGGAACAGGCCTGGCCTGGACTTGACTTGATCCATCATGCAGCTCTACAGACTTGTGAGCGCCCGCTTCTGATGAACACAAGCCTGTGCAGTGAAAAGGTTTACAACTGACTCGCCGGGCCCCGCAGTGATACGACGGACCGCTTGCAGGTGCGGCCAAAGTCGCAACAATAAGTTTAACTGGTGATTATTGGAGCAATGAAATAATATACTCGAATTCAGAAATTTTTTGGTGCTCAATATTTTCGGTATGAGGGCAAGAGGCCAGGTTAGGTGAACAGAAATTTTCGGTACAGAGAAGCAGTTCCCTATCGGATTATGTGTGTTAGTGTTTGTTCCTTGTATTGAAATTTTAGCTATGAAACAGATGCACCGAAAGTACCGAAAATAAAAGCACACCGAAATTTTGTGAAATTACAGTCCTGTAAAGCAACTTATTTTCGCTGGCGATATCATTTCGCTGATTTTGCCGCTTGGTACCAACTGGCCAAAGTAAGTTGCACGCCAAAGTTTCTCACAGAGGGAAATGATACTTGATTGAGTTAGTTTGATGACGGCCGAAAAGTTTCAATTCGAGATTGGCCACAGTTTCTCACCAGCCAAAATTAGTTAATATACAGTAGGCTATTTTGGCACAATTTATCAAAACCTTTCCCAGATGGAGAGCCTTTTCGTCGGTCTTTTCATAGCCATACCAATGTAGGATACCTTCCAATGCCCCTGGCTTGTTTCACCACTGTACTGTCTACAGCACATTTAGCACAGTGTGCAATGGCAAATTGTGCCAGCTAGGAGCTCGTAGCTGGTCAGATGAACCACTACATGAGCGAGTAATACTGACAGTACTAAAAACTACTAAAACAATCTGCGCGCACACACACAAGCACGCACACGCGCGCGCACACACACACACACACACAAACGCGCATGTACGCATGTATGCACGCACACACACCACACACACACACACACACACACACACACACACACGCACAGGCACACACAGTCACCACACACACACACACACACACACACACACACACACACACCCACACACACCCACACACCCACACACACCCGCACGCACACGCACACACACACACACACACACACACACACGCACACATCGATTCAACTAAAATAACACACACTCCATACATCAATATTGCTCTAGCATAGCGCTCAGCATGACATAGTGAACCACATAATGCTGCAAGGCTTACACATCTTCTTGGGTTCCTCCGGTCCGCTACTGAAAGTAGAATGCACAAAGAAGAAAAAAGAAAGGACCTACATGTTTAAGTTACGAGTTATGACTAACAGTCCACCAAGGTGACGAGATGTATACTTATCGGCCCTTTCTTCTTTATTTTTAAAGTAACACTATTGGCTCAACATCCCATTTTTAATCAGCATAAAGAAGAGGTTGAAGATGCATGAAAATGTTATGTGCATTCCTGGCCAGTAGAGGCAGTTTGATCTACTTGACATGCAGAAAATTTCGTCGGTCAATAATTTCGTCCAACTCCAAAGAAAGGGAGTTTGTCCGGTTGTAAATTTCGTCCATGGATCATAAGAGTGTGTGTATTGAAAAGCTGGACAAATCGACACTAGTCCGGCATTTAATTTAGTCCAAAAGCTCATTGCACCAAAAAGACGCAATTAAATTGCAGACGAATATTTCTGCTTATACAGTGGTGCTCCAAACACCAGAGTGCTGAGTCCTGAGTGGCAGACTACACACAAACAGAAGTGACGGGTGACTGCTTGTGCATGTCAGTTCAAGTTTCCATGCACTTGGGATGGTCCTCACACAGCATCACATTTCCTGCGTCTTTTGCAGCATACAGGATAGACTCATCACTGCAGAGTCCACTACTTTGTGAGTTTATTTGTACAATACATGGCAGGCGTACTCAGAGTGCCTCGCAGGACTGCGAGATGCTGCAGAAGACCAGGTTCAACCTTTCTGGACGGCCATTCACCAACGGTGGGCTACACGATGCTGGAGGAACTAGATACCAATGAAAACCCAAGATTCGTTTGCTCCTGGACGCTCCGACGTGTTGTGATATCTGCCAGGTGCGCAGTAACTAGTATTTTCATCGCTATAGCGAGGACGACGCCGATCGGCAAACTCGCGCTCACAGCCATCACCAGCCTCTCAACACCATCACTTGGCATCCCCCAGAGGTATAGAAGAAAGCCACAACAGCTCACAACAAACAACAGCTAAGGACGATGGAAAGAGAGCATGTCAAAAAGAAGATTAACAGTATGAAGTTCAAATGGTTTTGAACACTCGTACCACCAACTGTACCGCTTTCAATAAATCCTGACGCCATTTTGTTTTAACACGCATATCGCGGATTACTGAGTACTTACTTGAACGACGGCGACATCAAGATCAGCGGAGTGTGATCAAAGAAGCCGAGGCAAGGCTGAAACAACCTGAACAACGACTTGAGAGATGACGACAGCGACGCAGGGTCAAAAATGAGTCCAGCGAAAGCGACGCAAACTGAACTCTATCTATGCTCATTCCGCCAACAGTGTCTCTTGTAAAGACGCTGTACATAGGCTGAATCGCCTTTGTCCAGTGATTTGCAATCGATACAAACTGTTCTTGACCTGGCTGTTCTAAGCGTTTTCTTATCCATCAAAATCCATCACGAAGTTTTTGTTAACGGAGGAAGTACCTCCAAAGTGCGCACTATGCCCCGGCAACTATGGTACAACACA